AAACAATACATTTAAAAAATCTTTTCTACGCATGTTAAATTAAATACAAGGCCGATATTTTAAAAATTGATTCATCTAAAATTCGTCGAATACTCGAGTAAAGTCTTGTCTCATCACATAATTTAACATTAATTAATAAAATAAATACGTAAGCGACAAAACCTGTTTAGAGTTGAAAAGTGGCATTGTTAAAATTATTTTTGTTATTTTATCATAAATTAAAAAATTTGAAAAATTAACAAATTATGTATTGGCATTTTTTGAATTATAAGGAGGAACATTTGGGTGTTAATGTATTTGCATATACACTAGAGAAGCCTTATATTTGCAAAAACTAGCTTTAGCTATTTCCAATTTTGCTCTAAATATATTCTAATTATTCATAAAGAAAACTTAAAAAATAACAAATAAAGCATCTCCACTTAAAAATTTATGTAAATAAAAAAAGTTGTACTCATTTCCGTCAAAACCATAGCTGCACATTTGTGATGATATTTTCATTAAAAACAGGCAAAAATTAGAAAATAACATGTACATATTATCAAAATGGGTCATATTTTTCAAAATTGGTTTCCTTACTAAATTGGACGTACTGAATACAAATCCGAAGTCAAAATTGACTTAAGGAGCTTCCTGATTTTTTTTTAACATGCCACTTTTAGAAAAATGCCATTATCTGCTTTATCGGTCTCTCAGGCCCAAACGACCAGATTATCGTCTGTAAAAACACGTTTTGACGACTAAAAGACTCCAAGGAATCGATTGGTACCAACCGAAAGTCCGTGTCTTGGACCGTTTTGAAATTATGAGCCCCTAAATTCGAAAAATATTTTTTGAGATACCGAATAAACGCGAATTCGCATAAAATCGAATTAATATTCAACGAATGATGCCAGAAATGAATTCTGCAGTGCAAAACTAGTCCATAAACTCAATTTCAGGCAAATCGGAAGGCTTTCATTTTTCATATTAATTTTCCGGCTTAGCAAAAATTCCAGATTTCCATCATTTCAAAATATTTTAGTTAATTGGACTGTCAGTTTTTTCAAAATTGCTCTCCTTAACAATTCGGACCGCCTGAATACGAATCCGGGTTCAGAGTTGACCTACGATGCTTTTTAATTAAAACAAAAATTGTATATAGTGCCACCGAAAAAAAAGGCATTTTCTGCTTTATCAATCTCTCAAGCCTAAACAACTACATTATCCGCTTTAAAGAATACGTTTTCATAACCAGAAAACTACAAGGAATCAGTTGGTATAAATCCGAAGTCCGCGTCTTAGACCGTTTTGAAATTATGACCCCTAAACTCAAAAAATATTTTTTAAGATAGAAGATAAACGTGATTTCGGTTGAAATTAAATTACTATGCAACAACTGCTGGCAGAAATGAATTCTGCAGTGCAAAATTAGTCCATAAACTCAATTTCAGGCAAATCGGAAGAGTTTCACTTTTCATATTAATTTTCCGGCTTAGGAAAAATTTCAGATTTCAATTATTTTAAAATATCTTTGTTAATTGGACTCTCAGGTTTTTCAAAATTGCTCTCCTTCGTAATTCGGACCGCCTGAATACGAATCCGGGTTCAGAGTTGACCTACGACGCTTTTTAATTAAAACAAAAATTGTGTATACTGCAACCGAAAAAAAAAGGCATTTTCTGCTTTATCGATCTCTCAAGCCCAAACAACTTCATTGTCCGCTTTAAAGAATACGTTTTCATAACCAGAAAACTACAAGGAATCAGTTGGTATAAATCCGAAGTCCGCGTCTTAGACCGTTTTGAAATTATGACCCCTAAACTCAAAAAATATTTTTTAAGATAGAAGATAAACGTGATTTCGGTTGAAATTAAATTACTATGCAACAACTGCTGGCAGAAATGAATTCTGCAGTGCAAAATTAGTCCATAAACTCAATTTCAGGCAAATCGGAAGAGTTTCACTTTTCATATTAATTTTCCGGCTTAGGAAAAATTTCAGATTTCAATTATTTTAAAATATCTTTGTTAATTGGACTCTCAGGTTTTTCAAAATTGCTCTCCTTCGTAATTCGGACCGCCTGAATACGAATCCGGGTTCAGAGTTGACCTACGACGCTTTTTAATTAAAACAAAAATTGTGTATACTGCAACCGAAAAAAAAAGGCATTTTCTGCTTTATCGATCTCTCAAGCCCAAACAACTTCATTGTCCGCTTTAAAGAATACGTTTTCATAACCAGAAAACTACAAGGAATCAGTTGGTATAATTCCGAAGTTCGCGTCTTGGACCGTTTTGAAATTATGAGCCCCTAAACTCAAAAAATATTTTTTAAGATAGAGGATAAACGTGATTTCGGTTGAAATCGAATTACTATGCAACAACTGCTGCCAGAAATGAATTCTGCAGTGCAAAATTAGCTCATAAACTCAATTTCAGGCAAATCGGAAGAGTGTCATTTTTCATATTAATTTTCCAGCTTAGCAAAAATTTCAGATTTCAATCATTTCAAAATATCTCTGTTAATTGGACTGTCAGTTTTTTTCAAAATTGCTCTCCTTCGTAATTCGGACCGCCTGAATACGAATCCAGGTTCAGAGTTGACCTACGACGCTTTTTAATTCAAAGAAAAATTTTATATAATGCTACCAAAAAAAAAAAATGGCATTTTCTGCTTTATCGATCTCTCAGCCCAAACAACTACATTATCCGCTTTAAAGAATATGTTTTCATTACCAGAAAACTGCAAGGAATCGATTGGTATGAGTCCGAAGTCCGTGTCTTTGACCGTTTTAAAATTGTGTGCCCCTAAACTCAAAAAATATTTTTTAAGATAGAGGATAAACGTGATTTCGGTTGAAATCGAATTACTATGCAACAATTCCTGGCAGAAATGAAATCTGAAGTGCAAAATTAGTCCATAAACTCAATTTCAGGCAGATCGGAAGAGTTTCATTTTTCATCTATATTTTCCGGAATAGCAAAAATTTCAGATTTCAATCATTTCAAAATATCTCTGTTAATTGGACTGTCAGTTTTTTTCAAAATTGCTCTCCTTCGTAATTCGGACCGCCTGAATACGAATCCAGGTTCAGAGTTGACCTACGACGCTTTTTAATTCAAAGAAAAATTTTATATAATGCTACCAAAAAAAAAATGGCATTTTCTGCTTTATCGATCTCTCAGCCCAAACAACTACATTATCCGCTTTAAAGAATATGTTTTCATTACCAGAAAACTGCAAGGAATCGATTGGTATGAGTCCGAAGTCCGTGTCTTTGACCGTTTTAAAATTGTGTGCCCCTAAACACAAAAAATATTTTTTAAGATAGAGGATAAACGTGATTTCGGTTGAAATCGAATTACTATGCAACAATTCCTGGCAGAAATGAAATCTGAAGTGCAAAATTAGTCCATAAACTCAATTTCAGGCAGATCGGAAGAGTTTCATTTTTCATCTATATTTTCCGGAATAGCAAAAATTTCAGATTTCAATTATTTCAAAATATCTTTGTTAATTGGACTCTCAGTTTTTTCAAAATTGCTCTCCTTCTTAATTCGAACCCCCTGAATACGAATCCGAGTTCAGAGTTGACCTACGACGCTTTTTAATTAAAACAAAAATTTTATATTCTGCTAAAAAAAAATCACATTGTCTGCTTTGTCGATCTTTCAGGCCTGAACAAATACTTTATCCGCTCTAAAAAATACGTGTTCATAATCAAAAAACTGCAAGGAATCGATTGGTATAAAACCGAAGTCCGTGTCTTGGACCGTTTTGAAATTGTGAGCCCCTCAACTCGAAAAATATTTTTTCATATACCGAATAAACGTGATTTCGGTTGAAATCGAATTACTATGCAACAACTGCCGGCAGAAATGAATTCTGCGGACCAAAATTAGTCTGGGAACTCAATTTCAGGCTGATCGGGAGAGTTTCATTTTTCATCTTATTTTCCGGCTGGCGAAAATTTCAGATTTCAATTATTTCAAAATATCTTAGTTGATTGAGGTCTCACTCCTTCCTAATTCGGGCCGCCTGAATACGAATCCGAGTTCAGAGCTGATCTATGACGCTGTTTAAATAAAACAAAAATTTTATATTGTGCTAAAAAAATTACATTGTCTGCTTTATCGATCTCTCAGGTCCGAACAACTACATTATCCGCTCTAAAGAATACATTTTCATGACTAAAAAACTGCGAGAAATCGACTGGTATAAACGGAAGGTCCGTGTCTTGGATCATTTTGAAATTGTGAACTTCGAAACTAGAAAAATTTTTTTTTTAGATAGCAAATAATGGCGATTTTGCTTAAAATCGAATTAATATTCATCGACTGATGGCAGAAGTAAATTCTGATTTTTTTCTTAATTTGTGGCTATTTACGAAATATGTAATTTAAAATTAAAAAAAATATATTGATGTTTATTTGCTTGTAACAATAACGAAGGCATGAATTTTTTGTTGAAAAAATGCGTTTTAATTGTGGTTTCAAAGCCACTAGTCAGATTTAATAGCCACAATTATTTTTAATAGGTTTAGACATTGATATTTTTCTACGGTTAACTAGAAGTCTCGAACGATACAAAGCTACAAAATTAAAATAATTGTTATCATTAAGCGTTTGCAATGACCTCAACTTTTACCATTTGTTAAAATTTTAAATTAAATCCAACGGATTTCCTCGACTCTTCGACTTCGTGTTAAAACCTCAATTTTTACTTCGATCACCACAAATTTTAAATTAAATTAAAATTATTCCATAAATCATACCCACACTCCGTTCGTAAAAATCCAGTCGGCTCGATTAAAAATAATTAACACCAAGAACCTTAAAATAATTTTGTAAAATCGGGTGACCGTCAGCCGTCCCATGTGACTCAATCGGCAATCCCCCGCTCGAGATCCGGCCCGGACTCGCTCCGGAGTCCCGTGTGCCGCACGCCGGTCCGGTCGAAATGGTGGGCACGACTAACCTTATTTAAGAATTCGCTTACAGGATGCTGAAACAGTAAGCACGGTTCGCGCCGCAAGTAAAGTTGAGAGTTCTGAGAGTGGTGTGGTTTAGTGGATGTATTTGATTTTCGGTAGTTTAATAGCACGACCATGGACAACAAAGGTTTTGAATCAGATAACGTAAGTTACTTTAGCTTGGGAAAAAGTGCCAAATTATGCTATCGCAACAGTTTTTGTGGAGATAAAAATATCGCGACAAATTATCACAAAGCGCTCGCATGCGACTACGATTATGCATGTCGTAATAATTTCAAAAAGTGCAACCGCTCTTACACGTAATTAACAGTTAATCCTGAGAAACGTGCCCGATAAATCATCCCGAGGATTAGATCGAAATTCACAGATGAAGCTATAAACCTTGATTCGCTCATAATTCAAAAGCGACAATGCGTTTATTAATTTCACGCATTGACATTGATCGCACCGAAGGTAATAGAATACTCAGCCTCCCACGCCTTCGAAAAATGCACCGCGAACGTTCACTGGAAGCGCGATTTTTTCTGAAATGACCCGATTTTGCAACGCGAAATTACGATGTGATTAATGCACCTACGTTTCGTGTTGTACGTTCGAAACGGAAAGTTTCGTTAGTAATTAGAGAAAATTATTCCAAGTTCTAAGGGATTCGGCACAAAATCAGTGACGTTGAAACCCTACCCAAAACCTTGACTCCTTTCTTTAATTACATAAAATCGTAACCGGTAATTAATAAGTAAACATTCAAGTTGAAACAAGAGAAAAAAATAATTACAGCTTGAAATCTTGCCATTGATTGTTTCGTGAAAGTTATTTCCTATAAAAAGCGCATTGTCTCGACTGAGTGTGGTGCATTGGCAATATTTCCTACTCGAAGACGCATACGTCTCAATAATAGTCAGAGAGAGTCGCGATCATTGAAATTAACGCACCGATGAGCACGGACGATTAAAATAAATAAGAAATTTGTTGTGTAAACACGCATCCTCTTGTTCTCCCATTATTTAAAATACGGTAAACACTCTGGCATTGACCTCAAAACACAATTAAAATTATGTGGAACTTGATGAGGAATAGAAATGGAATTGCTTCAAATCGCAATCATCGTGTCACAATTTGGGAAACAAGGGGGCGAAACCTTCAAACGTGACGATAAAATTATCTGCTTTTTCAACCTTCTGATTAGATTTAATCGTTCGTCAAAATTAATTTTGTAAAAAATAAAATTGGTTGATAATACTAATAAATTAACATAAATATAAATAACAATGAGTACAACGTGGATAAAATATATATGAAACAAGGTGACAATCACACAAAAACTAAATTGTAATAATTAAATAATTATTCAAAGCATTCCTGACTTTACGACTGAATTTAAATAAGCAACTCTAGTTTTTTTCTTTAGTTTTAACAACACTTCCTTAAAATTCTATTGACCTCCGCGCAATATTTGGATTATAAAAATTTCTCTAAATTTTAAATATGTATTTTTCTACTTTCGGTTTTCGTTGACTGGTTCTTAATTTAATCATCCAACTACCCATATGGGTAATTGTATTAACAAAGATGCAATATGTCTGATGGTCACATTGAAACCAGCATAACTTACAGCAAAAAAAATTGTGTTTTCTTTAAAAATCTCGACGTTCTTAATTTGCCATGTTAATGGAGACTGAAATCGAGCTACACTTGATACCACAGGAATGTTATTTTGAGGTCGGTTGAATTTATAAAAATGTTTTGAAAGGTTCAGTAAATAAAGCAAATATTTAGAAAAATAATCTCAAAATAAAATACCACAACCCGGAAGTTTGAACAAAATTTTAAAAGTTCCTTTTCAAGAGGCTGGCAAATATGTTGCCATAGAACTGATTATTATTATTTGCGGAAAAAAATTTCGTTCAGTTAAAAAAAATTACTCGAAAATTTTGTTGCGACACAAAAAATGGGAACCGTCATTTGGAGTAATTGGTTCGTTGAGTTGAAACAGAATTATGGTTAATAATTGCACAAACAAAATGTATGCGAGCAAGCACGATTACTTTTTTGTCTTACGCGTTTATTAATTTTTCGCTGTTTCACATACGTCCGAAAATACGACCAGTGACTAAAAAACCAGCGAATCGTTACGTCACCGCGCTCTATAAAGTCAATTATATCCGCCCGAGTTGCTAATTAATGAGCTTAATTATAATTCGTGGGCCGTTTACGCCTCTGTCTCGTAACTTTTCACTATGACGCTCATTAATCCGGAAACGGCCTGCGTTATTTCAGGTGAAAAATTTCGCCTATTTTATGTAAGTAAACGAGGAAGTGTTTTCGTTTAAAATGCACGAATATCACATAAGACGGGCAGCAATTGCGAAAACAATTTTTAAAAGCGAACAGTATTCGGTCTAATAATTGTAGGAGCCGTTAATTACTTTCGTTATTTTCTTTATTTGTGTTTCATTCGGCTTTTGTGCAGCGGGACGACGGTTGAGAAAAAACGAGAGAAAGGATATTTAATCATAACTCGGGATTAACAAACAAGAGTTAAGTTTCGAAACTTTTTGATTAGTTTCTAACGAACAACAATCTCGTAAATCAAAAACCGCAGCGTCTTAGAAAAGATCTGATAGCTTAAGCCACAAGTGACTAATTGCCGGCTATGTTCCGTGACCTGTAACACTACTCACTTATCTATGTAAATTACCGGCCAATAAATTAGAATATCGCGCATTGCCGCAATTAACAAGATGTACATATGGCTTTAGCCGTGGAGGTTGGATAGTGTCTTTGAAACGTATTTCTTAATTGATGTTGATTAATATCGCTCATTTATACACAAATATAGTTACGCCGTTCGCACACTATTGTCGTCCTTGATGCACACTTCCGACAGCCGCGAGCTACGTAAGCACGTGTCAAACCGCCCGTAGGTGACGAACGTACCTTTAGAAGCGCGAATTAAGTGATTATTGATGATGCAAGCGAAAATCTACCAATGTCGTCACAGTCGGAGTTCGCTGCATCGTTAGCTGGATCCGGAATGTGTCAAAGCAAATATTAATGATTTCAGACAAGGTCGGCTCAAGTACCGCCTGTAATACAACCGAAGTAAATAAAAACATCCAAATTCCAGAAGAAAGGTTACAGTCATTAACACCGCGAACGACGGCGAAATAAGTGCGATTTCCTCGTCCATCTTTCGGATTCCTGGTGGGATCTGACACATTTTTCTCTCTCAAAGGTCGCTCGTGAAATATTAGCCCAATTAATCGCCGCTACCATACAATCTAAGCCAAATTAGCCATGACCGAGATAAAAATGTATTAACGCCGCCTATTATCCGAAAACAGCGCGCTCTTAATTGATAGCTTTTTCTCTGAATAGGTGTCGGTTTTCGTGTCATTAAGGAAATTAAACAGCCAATTTGCGAAATTCAATGCTACCGAAATGAATCGAACGCCAAATGTCAGGACGCACGCTTTTGTGAGGTCCTCAACAAAGCCAATTAAAAATAATTATTGCAAAATGTCATGTAAACACGATCCATAAAAACGAGCGTCGCGATCGAAAAAAGCGCGCCGACCTAATAAGGAAATTGTCCACTGATTAATAAAAACGAGGCCGAAAGTGAAATTATCATAACTTTGTTGATGGATGATTCGTCCGAATTAACGAATTTTCGAGTCAAGTTCAATAATTTCTTGGGTGTGCCGAACCGAGTTTACCCTTAAGCGAAAGACACAAAGAGAACGTTCAGTCGGACTAATGGAATTGTTTTTTGCGTGTGAATGCAATGCGACAGGCCTTGGTTCGCTAGTACCAGTCGATTCCGTATTGACACCTGTTATACAGCGATACTTCACTGTTGCGTAATCGGATGAATTACCAGTCGTTTAACCACAAATTCGCTTTTTCAGATCCCCGCAGAGCTCAACAAGAGTTGGCACATCCCCAGACCCACACTAGCCAGAAGCTCAAAGAGTTCAGAAGGTTCGACGACCAGTAATAATAGCACACAAGTAAGTATTTTTGTGCCAGGTGCGGAATTAGCACCCTCGCTTTTTGTATATTAATCGACGTGTCTTTTGCAGAGCGCAAGGTCCGGTTCTTTGCTACTGACAGCAGCTAATTTAGCCCAAATAGAAAGCCAAGACTCAACTGAAGACAGAAACCTGACTAGACATCAAAATATCCAGTATTACTTGCAACAAACCAATAACAATGATCATTTATCACTGCCAGCGAGCGACTTGAAAAAACCTGACCCAGATGCTGTCTCAGTAGCTAGTTCAATGCATTTTACTGTAGTCAATATGAATACGAGACCCGTCGTTAGACAAAGAAGTTTTTGTAGGAAGCATCAATTAACTATATTAGTTTTGACGATGTCCGCCTTGTTCATGATAGGCATAATGGCTGCGATATTCCTCTTAGAAAGTACGTAATTACACAATTAAAATTATACACAAACTAATCAATTTGTTACAGTGAGAGCCAAAAGACTAAAATGAAGAAAAGACGACAAGCATGGGCATTCTAGACTTACGAGGCTAAAATCTCTCCATTGTAGTCTCTCTCTCTCAATTCTAAACCCAAAAGGAATGTCAATTATGCGAGTAGGATCATTAGTTGATATTTAATTTTTATTTAAAGACGTAATTTAAGTTATAGCAGTTTTACCAACTGGACCAAATTGTGGTTGTTTTAAATCATAAGTTACGCATTAGTAGATCTATTTTGATGTTACTGTGATATCTAGAAACAATCATTACCACTATGTATAGTATTTATATTTTAACTTTCAGGCAGGTCCTGCGCCTCCTTGGAAACTTGTAAATTGATTTTTAAATTATCAATAAAAAACCACCCAAAACACACATTTTTTCACTTACCTCAACGTCCTGAAGCGTCTGCGTCCACTTATACTTGTCCAAGTCACAACCATTCCCGATATTCGGCTTCAACTTTCCCACCTCTGACGCGTCTTCGTCCTCTTCAATCTTCTCCGGCGCTACGCCCTCTCCATCCGGTGCTTCAGCGGTTTTCTTAGCGTCGAGCTCCGCCTGCAACTTCTCGGCTTCGGCGTCCGTCAGCTCCGTGATCTCCGCGGGTTTAATTTTTTCTTCTTCGAGCTTCTTGGCGGCGGCGGCTTTTTTCGCCGCCTCGCGCTCCCGGCGCTCCTTCAGCTCGCTTTCGTGCTTTTTGCGACTGACGGTCTCGTACTTTCTGAAAGTGCTCATAACCAACTACAACCACAATTTTGATAACTGAGTGAATGCTATAATGACATTACCTTCTCCCATGCCCCTTCGTCGCCCCCGGTGAAAAAGTCGGTTTTGCGGCTCAGGAAACTCACGAATGTGTCTAATAACTGGAAAATCGTGTCGGTTTGGAGGTTAGAATAAACAAAATTGGTTTACCTGCGAAGCGCCTTGTGGGTGGTGTTGTGCGATGGACAGGAATAAGTGGTCGAATTGGTCGATTTGGTTGCCGTCGCCACTCATTGTGTTTAAAGGGTTATTTATTAAAGTAAATGGAAATTTGTAAAATTGCTTGATCTTTCGGAATCGACCAAATAATAAGTACCAACTTGACGGAGCGCAGACGTAAAGTCACCAAAGTGGAACGAATACCAACATTGCGCAACCTTGATACAACAATAATGACTCTCTTTTATTGTTAATAGTTATCTTAAGTAAGATTTACATTTACGCTTGAATTAGTTTACTCGAGTCACGGTGTTCAAAAGCGCAACTAGCACAAAAACGTCCATTTTCACCGTCGCTCATTTTTTTCAAGTTGGCGGCCTCTTTTTTAGTGACACTACGAACTAGATTTTTTAATGGAGTTTAGATTTATGTTTCAAGCTTTGTGATCGTACATTTCGAGATTCGTGAAATATTGAAGTGATTATCGCTTCTCGAGCATCGTAAGTTTCCTGTGAGCATTTTCCTAACCTCCGGTAACGCAATTCCGCACAACTTTCGCGATTTGAAGTTTCGCCAGTTGAAAGTGTTTTAGGTTATGTTAAACTACCTCATGCCATTTATTTCGTAAATTTCTTGAACAAATATGTCAGAAAATAGCAACACCACTTCGATTATGACAGAAGTGACCACTTTAATTCGCAACTGGGAAGATGAGCACGGAGAAGCTAATTATGACCCCATTCAAACCCTCACCAGGTAACGATGTTGCAATGTTGTAGCGACTTACGCGTTGAAATAATTGTGGTAGGTTGGCTGAAATATGTGAAGTGGAGACGGAAAATTATCTGAAAATGGATCCCGACCCGTTTGACGAGCGCCACCCTTCAAGGACAGATCCAGACTGCAAACTTGGCCAAATTTTAAAAGCGTTATTTCGGAAAGACAACTTTATGAATAAGGTATTAAAGTCACTGGTTGCACGACGCAATAATAACTCGTTTTTTCAGCTCGTGAATGACTATCTTAGAGACACTTATTACTCGAGAACGGGGATTACAGGGCGAGATGTGGATCAGTTGAACATAGCTGCTTGTAGGTTAATGCTGGACGTGATGCCGGGCTTAGAAACGTCAGTGGTGTTCCAAGTAAGTCACCCCAATCAATTTCAATCAAAAATAACAGTTTTTTGTAGCCTGACATGGACAACTTAATTCACCGTTTGATTAAATGGACTACCAATTCAATAGAGCCGTTGCAAAGCTACGCCACTGGCCTTCTCGCCGCCGCTATGGAAATCCCGGAAATTGCGACTCGTTTTAGGGAACAAAATGGAAGACTTGTGCCTTTGTTGCTTCAAAGACTGCGTAGACTGCAAAACTCGTCAGAATTTTCAGTTACAAGTAATAGCACTCGACCTTTTGCACACCTCTCTACTATGAAATCGCCCCCATATCGTGGGGACGGTGTCATAAAAATACCGCCGTCGGCGGGCGTTAAAAGGCGTAAGTAGCACACTCGTGTCAAATTCATTTTACTAATTTTTTCCACAGCTCGTGAAAATGGAGTCACTCCTTCATCAAGATCTAGTCTAAAAGAAAACACTGATCTAAATTCCGCCAGAACTGATAATGACGTAAGTGTTATTTCTGTCACTGGATTGTTATCAGAGGTTGTTTTTTTCAGTTATCGGATAATGAAAGCGGCCAAAAACGCAAACGAATAAAATTAGATCATGAACCAGCTGAGGAAGTGTCACAGAGTAGTCCCCAGAAGCTCATTTTATTCACTGAAACAAGTAATTCTTCGTGGGCTGAGCTCGAAAGTTTTATGATTGGCACAGTGCAAATTTTTCCACCTACGTTGGCCACGAGACAGATACTCATTTTGCGGTATTTAACCCCATTGGGTGAATATCAGGAGTTTCTGAGTCACGTTTTTGAAAATGATGCCCTTAGTTTGATTCTGTGTTATGTTAATGTTAGGGTTACTAAGGAAGCGAGACTTGCCTTTGAGGCACTAAAATATCTTGCCGCTCTTTTGTGTCACAAGAAATTTTCAATTGAGTTTATTCAAATGGAAGGGCTTGAGGCACTTTTGGAGGTTCCAAGACCCTCCATTGCGGCCACTGGGGTTTCTATTTGTTTGTACTACCTAGGGTATTGCGAGGAAGCTATGGAGAGGGTGTGCTTACTGCCTAAATATATTATCACCAGCTTAGTCAAGTACGAAAATAATCCAACAAAATTTTGAAAAAAAAAATGACTCGAAATTTGTTTTTAGATACGCCTTATGGTTACTGGAGTGCTCCCACGACTCCGGCCGTTGCCACGCGATTATGTTCTTTGGTTTAACGTTCCAATTTAAAGTGATTTTAGAAGAATTTGATGCTCAAGACGGCTTACGCAAGCTTCACAATGTGGTAACTATTCACTCAAATTTTCTCACTATCAGTCACAATTCCACTCTTGACCAGATTTCAACTTTGTCCATTTTATTACCCGACACCGACCCCGCGCAACTCAACGAAGACCAAGAGTGCGCCGCCAGACAAATAGTCCGCCATGTTTGCGTAGCCTACCGTCGTTACTTAGAAGCTCACTTAAACTCGAAAGTCGAGCCAATCAAAAGATCGCAATTACGACCTAACGAAAGACCCGCCCAACCGCCGGTGCCTGCCCAACCCAGCTACAAACCCTGCAAGTCGTCTCCCGAGGAAATACAACAGAATGTCGAACTTCTTCTGCAGCACATGCCCTTCAGGGGGCACTGGGTTCCCGTCGACCAGTTGCTGAAGTTAGGGGGGATAACGCTACTGTTGAAAATTATCGCCTTTGCGTACGAGTGGAACTACAGCGGGCGGGCCGAAACCGTGAGGTCGGCGCTGGATGTGCTGGCGATCGCGTGCGTGATGCCGAAAGTTCAGCTTTTGTTCTGTGAACGGGTTGAGCTGCCTGAAGAGAGCGCCACGGTCGGGATTAATATCATCCTGGGGGCGGCGGAGGGGGAGATAGTCGCGGATGCCGATGTGCAGAAGGCGGCGCTTAGGGTTATTGTGAACTGCGTGTGCGCGCCGATATGTAGGGTAAGTTTGGTTTATTAATGCGTCTGGGGTTTTAATTTGGTTTTGGTTTTTAGGTTGGTGGTAATTTGGCTAGGTTTTCTGCTATTTTAAACTCGCCTAATAAAAAAATGAAATTTAAGAGTAGCGAAGAACTTATACAGAAGGTTTGGGACTGTGTTAGGTCGAATAGTGGGATAATGGTTTTGCTCCAGTTGATGAATATCAAAACGCCGATCACTGATGCCGATTGTATACGTACTTTGGCGTGTAAAGCGCTGGCGGGGTTGGCCAGGTCTGAAACTGTTAGGCAGATTGTGTCGAAATTGCCGTTGTTTACCAGTGGACAACTTCAAAGTAAGTGGTAGTTTTAAAACATGAATTGTAAAATTTTGTTGACTTTTTGTTTCAAAAAGTTGTCGTGTTTACAACGATAAGCTTTTGTGAAACTTTAAGAAAATCGGTTTTATAATTCAAGGACAAATTTTCAATTTTCTTGCCTAACTTTGACTTTTTTCCGAAATTGATAAGTCTAAACTAGAAAGTGAAGGCGAATTAATAAAGCACAAGTTAAAATTTGCATATATATTGAAACTCATTTCATATAAACATTTTTCTTTCTGAACAAAAACTAGGGGAAGTATTATAACATAATTTTGACAATGTGTAGTTTCATGTTTTCTTGCCGTTTCACAGCTTGTAGAATACAGAAACGCGGGTTTTCCGTTCGTCTCGATTTATTCGCGAGTTTGTTGGGGAAAACTACAATTCTGTTTATCAAACAGTAGTCAAAATATTGCCAAGTAAATCTCATTTTAATATGTCGTCTAAATAAATAAGTAAATACATAAATTTGGATCCCCAGATTTTACAGTTTATTTCAGAGATTACATAACAGATTTCTTCGGAATTTTAATGGGATACTAAAATTGATTTACGGTTAACCGAACATGAACAAAAATTTAATAACTCATTCTTCTTGGAAAGTTGATGACATCATCTCGGAAGACTATTAAATAAATGTGTAATTAAAAATATGCCCAGAGAATATTTGTGTTTTGTTCATATGGTTGTACTTTTAGAACTGTTGACACAGGATATTAAAAAAAAAATTAAAGCGTGAAAAATTATTTTCGTTACTTTGCCTGAAATTGAAATTTATATTAAAAAAGATGTGATGTCGCTGAATTATCATATGCTCAAATTACAAACATACGCAGCGTAGGACTAATATGACCATATGATTGAAAAAAAAGTTCTCTAGTAGGCCGTGCAATTTATTTTCATGTTGGCAACACTAGCGCATTCTTTGTTTAGTTTGACAATTACGGTCAAATAAAGGATCCAGTGGTTACAATGCCAACATAATTAGGTATGTCATCAAAGACTTCAAATATATATTTGAAGTCTTTATATGTCATCGTAAAATTTTAAATATGTTGCCAACCTCAGAAAAAAATACTAATGTTAATAGTGACTCGATATGAAACAGCAAAGCAATAAACAGTATTTAGCGGCATTTATGTACATTTCGGATTTCTGTTTATTGGTTAGGATAATCAAGATACAAAAATAAATTTTCCGTTTATCATATATTAGGGATTAATGTATATTAATTGTGATATATGGAATATAATACTGATTAAAATGTTGTTTGTTTCCATGATTCCATAAAAATAAGAAAATCGATAAAATAAATTGGTTCACATACAAAAATAGCGTATAATCGAAGAAAAATTATCTAGTGGGTCATGGAATTTAGTTTTAAAATAATTATGTTGGTATTATAGTTGTTTGACACTTTATTTGATACTTATTTAATGGTAAAAGGAGGTTTAAACTATATGATTTTCCTTACAAGTTCTAATCTGATTGATTCTTAGGAAAAATTATTTTGTTTATATTATTAGATTTTTTTTAAGATGTGTACTTTCCAAGTTCAAGCAATTGCCTAATTTTGTTTTTTGGACATTTCGTGGTTCTAGAGTATGAAAAAGTAGGTCTTGCTTTGAAATTTGAGATGTTTTAGGAATATTATGTATAAATGAAAAAAATGCTCGTGACATCCAATTTTATAGATGTTCCTATACTTGTGGTTTATCGCTTCGTTTTTATTTTTTATCTTAGGTGATTTTTGAAAAAGAAACAAAATTTTGTTAAGAAAAATTTACTTGAACATGCTTCTTTAATACAGTAACGGTCATTTCTACGGAACCACTCGATAAAAAGTCAGGTTGGTAGCCCTGTCATCTAGTACTTTACGCCGAACGCGGTTGGTAGCGGTAGTTGATATGGCAATCGAAACTAGCACAACACGAATGTTTCGGTTGCCCTCAGCTATGCCGCACTGTATCCCGAGCAGACTGTATGTTCTGTTCATCTGTTTATTAAAATAAAATATCTACATTGACAATGGGGCCATCTAACCTGTCAAATTTTTGACACATATGTTTTCCCCCAGAAACCCGTCAAGGTCACTTACACCAAACAAATTTTGAAAATTTACACTGGGGAGTGGTTCTATAGAAAAGATCGCGACTTTACATAGTGTGGCTTAATAATCGGTCTGTTTTTATTCTAACTTGGAATAAAATAAAATTCGCAATTTTCATAATTTATCTAAGAAACTAGATTTGTTTCATTCTGCTTCAGAGGTTAGTAATGTTCTATCTAACTAATTTAAAACCAATTACACGCAATAAAATTATGTTGTTTGAACGTTTGATAATACTCTGACTCTGACAGTTGATGTATTAAATTTGACATCTTAGTGGCATGCTAATCTATTGCTAATTTTTGTTTATTTTTAACATTAAATTTTAATCATTCTGGAGTTTTTTTTTTCGGATCGTATAGTACCATATATTGCAAAAAAAATGTCTAGTGGGTCATGAAATTTAATTTTAAAATAATTATGTTGGCATTACAGTTGTTTGATACTTTATTTGACAGTTATTTTACCGTAAAAGTGGGTTTACACTACTTACCTTACCATTTCTAAACTCATAACTTTGGTGGTAAGCTTTCTACGTTATTTTGTTGTCACGTGTGGTAAATGAATGTGAACGAGCTTTTACGGTCAAATAAAGAGTCAAATAGCTGCAATGTCAACGTAATTATTTTAAAAATAAATTGCACAGCATGCTAGAGGAGTTTTTTTTTTTCGATCTTATGGTAGAAACTGAAAACACATACCGGGTGACCTATTTATTGATTGAAGCAAATTTTTGGGTTGGCAGTTCTGAATTATTGGCAGTAATGTTAGCATGTCAGTTCACAGTTGTCAGTTTTGACATCAGCGCGCCTAAAAAAACAATGAGAAATATGTTGCCAACCGTACAAAAAAATTACTAATATTAACAGTGACTCGAGATGAAACAACAAAACTGTAAACATTATTTTAACAAGATTTATGTACATTTCGGATTTCTGATTATTATTGGTTAGGATACTCAACATAGAAAACAAATTATTCGGTTATGTTTTTTTGTTACTGCCTCGCGGGCATATCAATGTAGAAATAAACAAGTTAATAAAATTAAGTAAAAATTTAAATTTCTTAAAATGATATCGTCAATTTTTTGGTAGGGTTAATATATTAATTTTGATATGTGCAATGAAGAACTAATTACAATGTTGTGTATTTCCATTATTCCATAAAAATAACAAAATTGATAAAAGAAATTGGTCTACTGCAAAGTCCACACAAAAAAGTGTATAAAAAAAATTGCCTAGTTGCTCATGAAATTTAGTTTTACAATAATTATGTTGGCATTACATTTGTTTGACACTTTATTTGACAGTTATTTCACCGTAGAAGTGGGTTTACACTACGATTTTTTTAAGATGTCTAATTCGATTTACTATTAGGAATAACTATCATGTTTACATTATCAAATTATCCTTAAAATTCGCCCGAAAAGAGAAAATCGTAACTTCAGTTATAAGCAAAGATTTGTTTTAAGATTTTTACTTTCCAACCTTAAGCTAGTGTCTAATTTTATGTTTTCTGAACGTTTCGTGGTCCTACAGTATGAAAAAGTAGGTCCTGCTTTGGAGAATTTGGGGTTTATGTTAGGAATATCATGTATAGATGGAAAAAATGCTGTTAACATCATCCCAAAATTTTGCTCATGAGATCCTACTTAACTTTACACTTATTTTATACTTGTGTTTTATGAATTCCTTTTTTTATCTTAGTAAATTTTTGAAAACAAAAAACAAAATTTTATTGAGAAAAATTTGCACAGCTTTTATAATTTAAGTATGAAACTAGATTTATTTGATTATGCTTCAGTTATTTCGAAGTTTGACAATACTTTGACAGTTGCATGTATTAAACTTGACAGTTTAGTCGCATGCGAATCATGAATAAAAGTGTTGCCAACATCATTTTTTTAACACTGAATGTTAAAGCACGCTAGAGGATTTTTTTTTAACCATATAAGTAGTACCCAAAGACTTCAAATATATATAGACCGGCGATAGAACGAAAAAGCTGAAGCTAACCGGTCGCCATTTTGGATGTGACCGAAACCGCGGGAAGTTTAAAATCGTATACAATCGACTTCATATGAATAGTGAGTTTGCACATCATACACACACAAACTAATAAACTTCAACAATACTATAATTGCTGAATCTTAAATGCACGGAAACACGATCAAAAGAACCAAAGAAACTGTGATGACATCCACGTCACAACTGAAAGTGATACATAAGAAAGAAATAGGTTATGGGTATGGGTTGTTGCGATGTTATTAGTGACAGAAAAGTGACAGCAATGGCGGCGATTTCTGTTGACAGAACTGCTTCACGAAATACAATAGAATTTAGGGTGACAGCCAGTCTATATATTTGAAGTCTTTGGTAGTACCATATAATGCAAAAACACTCATCTAGTAGGTCATGAAATTTATTTTTAAAATAATGATGTTGCCAGACTTTTTTTTCGGCCATATTGTAAAAATCACGAACCAACCAATAAACAGTCTTGCATCTGAGCCATATTTATTAATAAACAAGCTACCGGGTATCTGGAAAATGGCGGATTAACTCTCCGCTTTGAATTTTTATAAATATATAGATTCGATCACATGACAAAATTAAATTAAATTTTCATCTAATCAAACAAGGCAATGAAATTCAAAACCGAAGGTGGGTGGGGTTAGTTTTAGGTTGTTGTTTAGATTCCACTGTCGTTCAATATAAAATGCATTTTTCGTCCAATGAAATGAATGACCAAAAAGAAAACCGGGTGGGTGGGCGGGGCCACTTTGAATTTTTTAAGCCTAATTCGCCACTTTACATAGTAAAATTCAGTCTTCATCTAATCAAAAAAATCAATGAAATTCAAA